GTGGGGTGGGGGTGTGGGGGGTGGGGTTTGACCATGACAGCTGTGCTCAGGGTTTACTCCTGAAGAGTTTAAGGGACCACATGGGTGACAAGGATCATACCTGATTCAGGATCAGTTATGTACAAGGCAAGAACCCTATTTGCTGTACTAAAAATATTACTAAATATTACTAAAAATAAAAATACTACTTGCTCCTAAAAATATGTCAAATAAAAGAAGCCAAATGGAAAAGAACAAATACTGCTTGATTCCACTCACAAGAACTATCTAAAATACAGCAAATTCCTGTAGACAGAAAGCACTTTTAAGAGTCCTTACAGGAATGGAAGTCAAGAAAATAAAGAATTTTTTTTTTGGCTTTGTTTGGGTCACACCTGGCAATGCACAGAAGGGTTATTCCTAGCTTTGCGCTCAGGAGTTACTCCTGGCACTGCTCGGGGGACCATATGGGATGCAGGGAATCGAACATGAGTTGGCTGCATGTAATGCAAACACCCTCCCCGATGTATTATTGCTCCAGTCCATGAATTTATTCTTGAGGCTCTGTTTTGTGTGATGAAAACTTCTAAAAAATAAATACTATATGCTACTGACTAGTACACTTTATTTTTTATTTTTATTTTTTATTTTTTTGCTTTTTGGGTCACACCTGGCGATGCTCAGGGGTTACTCCTGGCTGATGCACTCAGGAATTACTCCTGGCGGTGCTCGGGGGATCATATGGGATGCTGGGAATCGAACCCGGGTCGTCCATGTTGGCTGTGTGCAAGGCAAACAGCCCTACCCGCTGTGCTATCGCTCCAGCCCAGACTAGTACACTTTAAAATGATTTTTGGAACACTGGTGGTAGGCAAGATGTAGCAATATATACTTTAAGAGGCATAAGCCCATATTTCCAAAACAAAGTGTTGTAAAGGATTGTTAACTAAAAAATAAGTAAAATGGTTAATTTCACTGTCACTGTCACTGTCCTCCCGTTGTTCATCGATTTTCTTGAGAGGGCCCAGTAACGTCTCCATTGTGAGACTTTGTTGTTACTGTGTTTGGCATATCAAATACATCACGGGAAGCTTGCCAGGCTTTGCTGTGTGGGCGAGGTACTCTCGGTAGCTTGCTGGGCTCTCCGAGAGGGGCGGAGGAATCGAACTTGAGCTGGTCATGTTGACTGCGTGCAAGGCAAACACCCTACCCGCTGTGCTATCGCTCCAGCTCAGCTAATTTCATACTATGTAAACTTGAAATAAAAATACCGATAGTTAATATTCACAAGTGTGAGAAAACTGAAATAGAAGATAAAGTATGGCCATTCAATACTTAGGATATGATGGGAAAACACAGCCAAAATCTAGAAAGCCTGAAAATGTCATTCAAGACCTAATTTAGCTATAAAATCAGGCCATCTTAAATGAGTCTTAACCCCTGAGTCTTGGTTTTATCATGTAAAGAATATGGATGTGATCTGATGTGTTTTATTCTAAAGCTGAGATCCAAACATGTACCCAAAATAAGAGCAACAAGACAAATTTTAAAAATGCTAGCCTAGAGGTTGGAGAGATAGCACAGTGGGTAGGGCGTTTGCCTTACACGCGGCCGACCCGGGTTCGATTCCCAGCATCCCATATGGTTCCCTGAGCACCGCCAGGAGTAACTCCTGAGTGCAGAGCCAGGAGTAACCCCTGTGCACCTCCAGGTGTGACCCAAAAAGAAAAAAAATGCTAGCCTACACACACACACACATAAAAATGAAAAGTTGGAACCAATGGAGATTCTTGGAGTTTATCAAATTGGGAAACTAAGTCAATTTTCACTTGAATGAGCAGTAGAAGATTAGCATTAAGTCAAATTCTCTCTGTGTAATAAGAAATACAAAGCCCAAAAGGAATTTTTAAATCAATGACAGTTCATGATTATCTCTTAAAAGGCAAGTGATCTGCTGTCGCTGCAATGAAACTGTTTCAAAACTTTGTAATATATAAAATGGGAAGGAGAACTTGAGTCTATTTTGGTCTATTTTGAGTCTACCCTCAAAAAAATAAAAATTAGGTTCCAAGTATGTATGAAGATAAGAAAATAAATAGAACTGCTAGAGGTACAAGGCTTCTCATATAATTGATCAAATCCAACTGGGACAGGTAGTCCATTTGAAAATATTTGCAAAACACTTTAATAAAACAATACAAACAAAAAAACAAGTCTACTTAAATATTTAAAGAAAGTAACGTTAGTATGTATTACAGAAGTTACTCTTTATATAACTAGTGTCCTGGTTTACTCAGACTTTTAGTTACCTCTGGGTAGACATAGTCCAAAAACACTATGTACAATAGTAGTGTTTTGAGAGAGTGAGCATATACACATAAATATTAAATATACTTTTTAAATGGTTCCAATTTATCACTATGTTAACATTTGCTGTTAATCTCTTTACCTAATTAATAAACCCTATTATATGTATATAAATATATAGTTATATTTAAATAGGGAAAAATATCTATATGGAGACTTCAGTGTAACTGTGGTTTCAATAATCTATATGGGAGTCTTAGGGGCATATTCCCATTGATAAAATTAGACTACTGTATTATAATTTTTACATCTTTAACATATTTATTTTCAAAAATCTCTAGAACCTAATGGAAACATGCACACAAACAATTTATGTTGGCTTGTGATGCACCTGTTAAATTCACCCAAAGGTATACACACAGGATTGAACATGCTTGGAACTTGTTGGGGCAACGAGACATTTATATCCCTGGTAATCTGTGTGGCATGAAGTTTTTTTCATGACAGGGTTCTGGTAAGTTGAATCTTGTCCAAAGTCAGCCTCTTGGGCTTTTTGTTTTACTTTTTTTTTTTTTTTTACTTTTTAGGTTATACCCAGCAACTCAGGGGTTACTCCTGGCTCTGCACTCAGGAATCATTCCTGGCGGTACTTGGGGGACCATATGGGATGCCAGGGATTGAACCCGGGTTGGCCACATGCAATGCAAACGCCCTACCTGCTGTACTATTGCTCTGGCCCCCTTTTTGTTTTTCTTACCTTTTCCTTTGTTTCTTTTTTTGGGGATACGGGGCACACCCAAGAGTGCTCAGGGCTCACTCCTGGCTCATCAGTCAGGGGACCAAATGTGATGGGAATCAAACCCTGGTCAGCCACATGCAAGGCAAGTGTACTATGTGTACTATCTCTGTATTATCTCTCGGGCCCCAATCTTGAGCAGTGGCCTTCTCTGTACATTGAGGTGGTTAGGTAGCAGTTTGCAAAAAAAAATTTTTAAATTACTTTGGTTTTAAATTTTAAGCTATATAACCTTTTAAGTGAAACCATGCAAGAAGCTTGCTATTTCAGATAAATAAATTCAAAATCACTCTGTGTTACAGTAAGAAAGCTAGATGGCTATCTTCTTTCTGCTCTAGTACTGTCTTGGTAATTTATGAGGTGCCACAAAAGAAGCTGGAGGGTTTCACAGAACATAGTTTGATTTGATGAGTCTCTTCTTCCCCTACATTTTTACTGAAGTATCATGACTCACAAAACCATACATGACAGTTTCACGCATACATCATTCCTAACACCAAACCTATTATCACCATCACCACACTACTGACTTCCCAGTTCTTTTGCCTTTGGCTAATTGTTGCTCATTTATTATTTTTCCATATCCCAAGTATGAGAGAAAGTATTGTTTTTGTCCTTTTGATGACTTTATTCCACCCCATACCCTACGGTTCTATCTGCTTTTGTGAGGTTATATGTTGCTGTTGTTTTTGTGCCATGCCAGGCAGCAATACTTAGGGGAAACTCCTTGCTTATGGGTAGCTGTCTGTGGCGCATGGGGACCATATGATGCCAGGAATTGAACCTGGGACTCCTGCATGCAAAACATATGCTCTAGTCCTTTAAGCTATCTTACTGGCACTGAAAATACAGTTTGAAATTCAAAAGATCAGATAAAACCTAAGGTATCTTCTTATATATGTTCAGGTATCAGTGCAGGCATTTTCAGATGTAAATGCTTATTTTTGGAGGAAATCTTTAACTGTAAATAAATTTTTTCCAATAAAGATGAAAAAATTCAAGAAAGTTTTCAAATGCTAAAATATGCACTATTAGTACTAATATTATTATTTATACATCATTTTACTATTGTAAATCAAAACCATCAGAAAATTAAAGTAGTTAACTAGATTAAAGGAATGGAGGAATAGACTTTTCACTTGTACATTTTTTCCTTGAGATAATTTACTTTCATTTGGCATGAATTAGTTGAATTTATTTCTTTTTCTAACCCATTATAAATCATTTTAAAGAAATATATGTTTCCACAGTCTCTCCACCCCCAATAGCATTACTGTGTCCTTAGACCTATTCAATCACTATAGGCAATCAGCATCGAATGCAAATCTACCCTCTCATTAGGAGCTAACTTGCTGCTTTAACCCATTTTTACAAACCGTCTGATATACCTTAATCCTTTCAAATGCAACTACAACACAAAGTATTGCTCACTTTTAAAAACCTGTTCTCTTGAAAAAAAACTGTGGAGCATCAATAACCAGATAGTATTCTCAAATTTCAGTGATCTAGTCCAGAGAGCCGTCCCTATGCATAGTGCTCTGTTTCATGCAGTACATGGCTTTAGCTGGCCAAATCTTTTTTTCCCCCAATGAATCAGTAGAACAGTGAAGATCTTACTTTTTTTTTTTTTTTTAAGCAATGGCATATCAATGAGGCACAGATGTGTATTCCAACTCTGCATGGATGAGCACACTGTTCAATAGTGCTGGCTCACACGGTATCAGGGCGAGTTATCACTTCCCATGAAGGCACTCTTATCACCAGGGCCCAGAGAGGTGGCTGCAAATCGCAGCCTTTTTATTTTCAAGGCAGTTTTGCTGAACATTCAGGCTTCAAAGATTCACACTTCCAAAACTCTATAAGAGTTTGTGAACGCTCAATTTGCCAAAACTGTTTACAGTGTAATTGGGCACCGTACCTGTGTCCATGAGATAGCGAAGGCGCTTCTCCACCAGCGCGGCACGGGTGTCAATTTGCTTTTGCTCATTCTCTAGTGCTGCCAATTCTCCTACAACATACTGACTGGTGTCTTTGAACCCTTTCTGTTAACGAGAACAAACAGGAAGGAAAAAAAATCACTTGTAAGTTGCATTTTGCTTTTCTACAAACACTTAGTAAAGCACTTACCTAGAGTATGAAATACACCCTTAGTATCACCCTTAGCACCAAAAGGCAACTCCCTGAGATTCCAAAAAAATCATTTACTGTTTTATGTACAGCAAAACTTCATCAACTGAGAGAATTTCAGCTATTTAGCATTATAATTATAATCTGACACCCAGATTTGCCAGATTAAAAGAGTTACTACATTAGGAAAAAATTCTCCTGAGTTAAATCAGAATTATTTAAGAATGGACAATTACAGAAGACAATTTTCCCCTTTGATTGTTAAAATAAACACCATACATTTCTTTAATTCAAAAGTGTAATATAAAAAAACAAGTAATTGATTCTTAAAGCATCTATCCTAAATAATTCAGTCATTTGTTCTTAGAAAAATACCAAATTAAAAAAATCTTCTGATTTCATAGACACTATACTATATAAAAATGATAAAAGAGAAGTTTCTAAGATCCCTTGTTTTCTCTACATCTGACTGCTGTGCATATGATTCTCCTGATGTATTACTAATTATTACAGCTGCAAATTCAAACTTTACAGGTGGTTTCAAATCCTGCCACATAGGATCTAATGGAACTAATACACTGATCTACTTATCTTTCATTTAACCAAATATAGGTATCAATTCAAAATTTTAGTTTTTACAACCATGTATATTAAAAAAAATTACCTTGAGACATTTATTTGAAATAGCAGTTCTATTATAAGATGATACTAGTATTATTAGGGTGTAGGGGTACGATTTATGGGATAGTCATAAACTAATTTTACTTTCTTTTGGGATTCTTGTTTAACTTGAGACATTTCCAGGGGTAAGTTTCCTAAGTAGCGAAGTAATAATGAAGAAATGTTTAAGAGATTACTCTCTCCACTACCACAGGTACCTTATAACATTATTTAGAGAAACAAATGTTATTATCCTCTTTTGTCTAATTTGTTTGCTACCTAAAGCATAGCAATCTCTAAGAAGACGTAAGGAATTATTGTATGATAATATTTAAACAAAAACAATTTTATGTCATTTTAGAGCACTTTTAAAAATAATTCTCATGATTTACAAACATAACTATATGTATAACATATATTTCTGGAGCTAGGAAATAATTTGTACTCTGAGGTGAACTCAGTTTTACTAGCTTATTGTTAAATTCATTATGGGAGTTGACAAAGTTGAATTAATTTTTTTAAATTATAAAGCTGACAATTTCTTAGCATGTTTAATCTAATAGGTCACATATTTAAAAGACTACTATTTTCTCATTTTAATATGAAATGTAACAAATATAACTGAACATATGCTAATGTTAACTTTAAAACTCAGAATAATCTTTTGGGTTCTGTTTTGTGCCCATCTGCCAGATTGTAGAGCATTTTCAAAAAGAACCTTTCCTTTCTCATACCTATCTAGAGAAACAAAATAGTCATTTGCAAAAGAATACATATTTGTGACAAAGATAAGAAAACAGACATGATAAAAAACATAAAAACCGCTTCTACTGACTGGCTCAGTTAAAATCGTAACATTTGTAATTTAATTACTTTAGTTAAAATAAATACCCAAGAACACTCAAGTATCCTGTGACTATTAATCTTATCAAATATTTCATAAGAGTATATTGGTGAGTCGTCCTATACACTAATACTTAGAAAAGTCTTACTACTACTTAAAAAAGAGAAGTTTCAGGGGAGCAAAAGTGTAGCTGGTAACTGAGCACACGGATCAGGATTTTTAAGTATAGCAAAGATTATTTAAACAGTAAAAATAATGGAACTATTTAGACAAACTATAGTCAATATAAAAGTAGCACCACTGAAGAGAGCTAGGCTTCCACACAAAAATACAAGTTAAAACTTGCTCTTCCTGCTTCTGTCCCACAGCTGTCCATCAAAAGCAGCTTTCTCCCTGCGGTCTATCAAATATTTCCCTCACAAATCAATTTTACACATGATCAGCCCATACCCCTACTGAGCTGAACCTCCCCGTTAATTAAGTGAAGAAATTACCATATATATTATATTAATGCAAACATCATTCAGCTAGTAATTCACGGCTGATCTGGATAATGGAAAGGTTGAACACCCATTAACCCAAGCCAACAAAATGGGTTGGCTGAGAAATTCTAGCAGGTCTCATGTGACTTTTCCCTCTAACTGCAGCTCTGCGGTATCTGCTATTGTAATAATTAAAATCCTCCCGGTAGATCAATACTGGAATCTCTTTATGGGAAGTGCCCTGATGGAAATGTCTCAAGGAAGCTGGGGCTGTGGAACTCTGAAAAATTCATTTTTTTTTATCTGACAATTATCACCACACTGCAGACTAATTCAACAGTGCACCCCTCTCACTCTGCTTTGAATGCACTGGAGATTGACATCTTAAAAAACCTAACATCTCATTTTAACAAATAAAGGCACTATTTCCACATACAGTTTGGAATTATCAGCAATCATGAAACCACACAAAAAATTAATATACATTAAGCACTTCATCTTCTGATGGCTTCCTCTGAGTTTCAGTTATCGCTGCCTTCTCCTCATTTCCTTTCTTTGTATCTTCCTGTATTGATCTCTGCCTTTTCATCTCTTAAAAAAAAAGGGAAAGACATGGAAAATTACTATAAAGTTTGATATTTGTGTATTAAAATGTAGAATTACATTATCATCATATGTATGTATATTTAAATATTGTTCAATCTTAAGATGGGAAAAACAGTCTTAAAGTGTTCCTACCTGGTCTATTCTCTACATACTGACTGAAAGACTGAAGTTGAGTTTTCCTGATTGTTGAATCCTTGCTGAACACAACAGGGTTTCTAAAACGTTCTGTTGCTTTTTGTAATCTTTCAGTCCGGAGCTCATCTGTGCCATTCTGAAAGTAAAACAAACATGGTAAGAGAGTCCTAATATTTTTCATGAAATTACACAGTTAGTAAATACATTTTTATTGGTTTTATGCCAATTACAAACTTTTTGGAAGCGAAAAGTATTTTAAAGAACTCTAAATAACTCAACTGCAAATTCTGTTGTCTATAACCAAAAACTGGGAGACATGGTTAAAGAGAGCTTTATTCTCGACAACTTCGCTTATTCTCATAATTTATTATTCTAAATAAATTCATGAGATATAAAATCTTGTCTTCTCCCCATGACATGTACCTTTAAAAAACTGGGTGGAGCTGTACTTCAGTGGTATAGTGCGTGCTTTGTATTTACAAGGAAGGCTCTGGGTTCTATCCTAGGCACCAAAAGGATAACTATGTTGCCTCTGTCTAGTCCCCCAACTATTCTGCCCCATCAGTTTGTACACTCCCACAGACTTGTATGACAAGAAGAACTAGTTTCTAATTTTATGCCCATTGAGATAAACCACTAATGCAGGATGAAGGGTAAAAGGTAGGATTATAATACTACCCCACTGAACTGCATTTTATCAGCTATAACTTTCCAAAGCCAGATTTGTAAGTAAGCTCTTTACAGCTAAGGAAACTACAATTATCTTTTCCAGAGCTTCCTATGTTAATACTGGTAACAAATTCAAATGGTTCTATCAACAAGAAATATCCCAAAAGACTGAACCATCGCAGTGTGTGGAAGCTGCAGATACCGAGGTGCTGTGTACCAAACAAATATTTCATTTTATACCTAATCTTTTATTATTTTTATTAAGTGTTTTGAAAGTAAATAGGGAAAGGCTAAGATGCATGACTAATAGCTAAGCCTGCTGAATGCTGAAACTGGTTATCAAAAGCTACCAAGACTTTGCCCTTCCTCTGCATTGAGACAATCAGTAATGAGGGAGTCCTCCAATGGCCTATTCTCTAGCCTCAAGGAGGCCTGGGATACAGAATCCTCTAGGGAAGGTAACAGTTTATCCTTTTCCACAAACACAGAATGCCTCATTTATGAATGTGTAAACTGCATTTTATAAAAAAAATAAATAAATAAGAACCACAAATCAATGTTGAAAGCTTCAAGAGAACAGATGGACTCTACATGATCTTTATAACCATCATTAAAAAAAAAATCTTAACTAAAGATTCATACAAAGACAAGCTATTTAATGCGTACCTTTTGTTGGAATAACTTTTAAAATTACTACATAAGCATCTGGAAAGCAAAACCAATCTAATTTATTTAGATAAGTAAGCTGAATGAAATATCCCTACTTTTAAAAAGTTATTTATTAGTGGTATCATGCTTATAATATGCTAGGTATAAAGTTAAGATAAAAATACTTTGTTTCTTTTTGTTCTTTTTAAAGGAAATTATGTAGTCTACTGTTACAATAACTGCACATAATATTTTAAAGCCCAAGTCTTTAACCAAAATAAACAAACATGGCTAAAATTTTAGGCCTGGCAACATGCTAAAATATCAGTGCGATTAGCTAGCAAATCCCATCTTAAGAAACCTTTTTATGACTAGGGACTTCTGCCACTTTACAAATGTATTCCTCTAAACCCACTAATTCAGTTAGCCTTTTCAATCCATTGTATTATTCTTAGGCCAGCTTCATTCTGCATTAAATCCACTGCAGAAAGCTAAATTGAACGCAAAAAATCAGACTTGATCCAGGCTTCCTTTTGTTCAAAGATAGAGACCAAAAGTCCTCTGGTGCTGCCACACACTTTCATCACCAATTTATAGAAACCGACAGTGTAAGGGAAAAGCAATGAAAGTCATTGTTTTGGGACTTCAAAGCATCTCTGTGTCAAGGGAAGGAAATCCTTTCAGTCAGCAGGGTTGTCCCCATGGTCCGCAGGTGGGTGAAAAGTTATACAGGGACAGAAGAGCCCTAAGCTAGAGACATATTAGTTATATTCTGCAGGGAAAAGGGTGAAAGCTTGGTGTGGGATAATAGAAGTATTTTAATAAACATTTCCATCATTACCTTATAATGTGTAATTTTGGTCAAAATCCAACATACAAGTTAAAGTTCATATTTTCACAAAATATATGCAAGTACCTTAAAAATTTATAATCACCACAAACCAACTTAATATAGTAATTAACATTAATTCTAGTTCATTTAAAGAGTTTAGAAGTTGAGGGGGAAAGAAAAACATGCTAAGTTCTTTTAGCAGAATTATTTGCAAAATATAAATACAGACAAGTCAAGAATAATTTTACTGACAGTTTCTCAGAAAAAAATGTTCTATGACTATGGATTACCATTTTTATATTTGATATGCTTATTATTTAATAAAATTCTTTTTTTATCTTAATGTTAAGAATTTGGTAATAAGTGTTTAGGATTATAAAGAAACAGGAGAAATTAGAAAACACCAAAAAGCGAGTCAAATATTTAAACAAATCATGATTTACCTTAGTGTCATGTTCCGAGCTCTCAGCTACAGCTTTCTGGGCAGCACCAGAGTGTGAATTTGCCACCTGTGGCTGAACTTCTAGGAGCTGCTTTAACTTCAAGTCCACCAACTTAGCATTTTGTTCTGTTAAATATCATTAATGACAGAGTAAGTTGCATTTAAAATGTGTATATTGTCAATGTAGGGGAAATTACAAAATACTTCTGTACTCTATTTAAAAAATAAATGCCCATCAGTGTTGTGAACAGACATATGCATCACTTTTTTTGATAGAAAAAGATAGTGATAGTGATATATGCTATAGTATAACTGAGTGATATATTTAGGCATATTGATTATTATATGCTTTTTTTTTTTTTGCTTTTTTGGGTCACACCCGGTGATGCTCAGGGGTTACTCCTGGCTCTGCACCCAGGAATTACTCCTGGCGGTGCTCAGGGGACCATATGGGATGCTGGGATTCGAACCTGGGTCGGCCGCGTGCAAGGCAAACACCCTACCCGCTGTGCTATCACTCCAGCCCCATAAATATTCTTTAAAAGAAATTTTAGGGACTGGGGGAGTAGCTCAAAAGGGTGGAGCACATACTTTGCACACAAAAAAATGCTTACTTTGAGCCCTGTTACTTTTTTTTTTCCTTTTTGGGTCACACCCAGTGATGCTCAGGGATTACTTCTGGCTCTGTACTCAGGAATTACTCCTGGCAGTCTTGGGTCCATATGGGATGCTGGAAATCAAACCCAGGTTGGCCGCAGGCAAGGCAAACACCCTACCCGCTGTGCTATTGCTCCAGCCCTGCCCTATTACTTTTTGATGCTCTTCCCCACTGAGCCACTGGTGTGGCTGAGGGACCCCAGCACTGCCGGGTGGAGCAACAATGAATCTCAGGACTTTACAGGTAGGCCTGAATTTCTGGTCGAAATATCCCCAAGAGTGTCCTCTATGCCCTGGAGCAGTGCTGGAGAGGCTCTTATAAATATTTTAGAACTGCAGCAATAACACAGGGGTTAGATCTCAGGTATATATCCCTGGCACCACTGGCTCCCTAAGCAACACTGTGCAGGCCGGGAGGCACCCATGCTCTCATCACTATCGCCCTGAAGGCCCTCTAGCACTGTCAGGGTTAGCTCAAGTGGCCTAAGCATGCTCTGGAGGGTGGTTCTGGAGGTTGTCTGAAATGCAGGGCTTAGGAGGCACTCCACCCTCGGAACAATCTGACCCAGTTGGCAATATGACTTCAGAGTGGCCTCAGGCTTCTCCCTCCTAAGAACTGCTTGGGTTGCTTCCTCCAAAAAACTTTTATTTCCATACAACTGATGCATATCCCAGTGAAGGTTTAAGGTGCAAATTTGTTAATTTGATACATTTACATATTATAACTGATTATATGTAGCATTGGTTAACACTTCCATTATCTTACATAATTATCATTTTTTGTGTGTGTAGTGGAAAAATTTGAGATCTGTTCTTCGAACACACATATGCACTTTCTTGCCCTCGTCGGTTTACTTAAAGAATATAATCAGTATAGCCAGGCAATATAAGTTACTTACAATGCTTACCTGAGAGCCTAAGCTTATTTGTAATGCTCATATTCATATAAATAATGGTATATTACACATAAACTACCAAAAAACTAGCTATTTAAAAGGAGACAAATTTGATTCTAAAACACTTGTTTCAATTTCTCTAACATATTAAACTTACATTACCATGCTAAAATAAGCTCTTACATGATCTCAGAGAATGGCTAGACAATGTTCATGTGTCATCTTATATACACATCTCTGAAATAGTATATAATTTAATAAAAACCTATTTAAGTAGAATACAGAAAAGATTACATTTGTAGAGTGTATTAAGTATGGGTAGAAATTTGAAATAAATAAAATATCTGTAATTAAAAATTTTTTCAAATTATTGGAAGTACATTAATCTTTGATAAAATAGTTAAGCAAATGGAGATAATTCTGAACAAATTCACTCAAAGCAACTCTTTAATAAAATTATTGTAGAGTACATGCCAACCATTTGGTAAATGATATTTTTCATTAAGATTAATAAGTTTTCTAATTATAAGATTCTTAATAAATGTTATTATCATTACTTTCATGCAAATTGGTCAGTTTATATTGCCAGGCTTCTCTTTTAAACAGTATCTGATGAACTATGGTCAAATCAAGATAGAGATTAAACAATTTATTATTAAAACATTATGACTTTTATATACATATTAGAAAAGAAATTTTGGGGAAAATAATGCAAGGATAAAAATTATAATAACTGTTCTGTGCTTCCAGATTCCAGTTTGTATTCTTACTTACTTCTTGCCATGAAATAAAACGCAGTTGGAACTGGAACGTCTAAACACATGCCAATGTTCATTGACATGCAGCAAAGTAGTAAATAATATTATTTGTTAATTCCAAAAACAAGAAGACTGAAATGTGTTTTCTCTTTTTACACATAAAGTAGGAAGAGATTTTTTGGAAAGGACCAGTCAAGTCTATAGGGACCACTATAAGTCTATTAAGCATCAATTTATCAATCTATCTACTATTAAGCATCCCACAAACCTGCTAATAGTGAAACTAAAAAAATTTTCTCGCTTTGCTTAAGAAATGGCTAATTTCTTATCACCATAGTTTACTATAAAATTAGGAAGAATACAGTCTTTCTTATGACTGATTTTACACTTCCATAGATGGAATGTTAATGTTCTGTACTTGTTAATACCCAGAAGGTATAGGAATATTATTGGTTTCTGACAAAGCCTTTGTAGCTGTTGGGGCGATGGTGGGCAAACAATAATGAAAGTATTTTCGTTAAAAAAAAAATCAAATTTACCTAAATCACACTATTTTAAATAGAAACAGGTAGAAGGCAGTTCTAATTTTAAATAGCAAAATTTTCCCCTTAAATATCAGTTTTCTCTTGAATTTGCACAATTTAAATGTAATGATGTCCATTTGGTAAAAGTTTAATTTTTTTACTACACCATGAAATGACTGAAGATGAAAGCGCAGGGTTTTTCTCAGGTACTCCCTAGGGTGAGCAAGATCCTGCTAGATGATTTCTTAAAGAAATGACAGTCTGATTTCAAAACCCAGGCAGAAACAAAACAGGGGTTATATGGTATTGCAGGGGCATGTCAGGTTTGGGAAGAAAATGCCTGCTTCACTCCTTGTAGCTTTTAACAGGAAAAGATATATATTAGGAACACACTCCTCTCTGTCTTTAAGTCTAAATAGATGAGCAAACAAGATGAGCTTTTTTTTTTTGCCAAAAGACATAAATTTAATAAATATTTATGGAACCCTCAGGTATACAAAGCTTTGGACTGCTACCTGCTGATGACTTACAATGGCAATTCATATGAAACACTTACCTATTAAGAAGATAATGCCAGTATGTATCTTTATATGTATTTAAAATAATATTTGTATCTTCACATAGCAGTATCTTTATATACATTATTAAATAATTAGTTCAGTTGCAAATGTGATTATTGAAGCAATAATTATAAATATGAGATCAATAGTCTAAATAAGCCACTTGAAAGCCACTTGGCTTTCAAAGTATATTAGTTTAATCAATTATTATGTATGTATCATCTATCAGGAATAATATTTAAGTAAAGCAAGCACAGCATTTATGAAACAATGCAACTATGACTACCAATTCTAAACCACAATTTAGAAAATCTGATCCACAATTTAGAATTACATTTTAAGCATTCCATAGAAAGCTTATCTACATTCTATCACATCATGCCAACATTTTTAGGCTGAGATGAAAACCAATTATTCAATGGCTACAAACTGTCTCATGTAATATCAAAAATATGACAGTGGATCTGAGTAATAAGAGAACACAAAGTACAATTTGCAACTTCAATGATAATTTTAACATCAAATATAAAACAAAACAATAAAATTAATGGAAAGTTGATTTAGCCAAATGATTTGTGAGGAAATAAAATGTAATTAAATTATAAAAACAACTCATCACTACTGGTTAGATAATAACAAAAATATAACCATCAAAATTGCCATGCAACAGGACGCAAAGTATTTATAACTTGGAATTACCAGGAATATCAAGGTCATTTTCTAAGTTAGTAAGTTCATCTCCACCTCCCACAACAAAGCCTCCAGGAATCTCCTCGTTAGTATCTATCTCAATATTATCATTTTCATCTGTAGGAACATGTAGCAATAATGTTAGTATATAATTTCTATTTTATATAGTTAACCAAAACACTAAAAAGAACCCAGTATTTTAATGACACATTTAAATTCATATCTAACAGAGAAAAGCAAGTGAAATCAATTTTTTACTATTATGTAAATTAACATTTATGTATTACATTCATGTCATTTCCATTCATATGTCAAAGATGAACTGTCACATCAAAGAAAGTGGAAAGTTTTTTGACAATTTGCCACACACCATCTACAAATCACTGACTTCATTAGTTCTATATTTTAAGATATAATCATCAATGATTTCTAATATCACAACAAAAACAAAGTTGGTCTGGTAAGAGAACCATCAAATATTTCCATGTTTTACTTTTTTGGTGTTATTGTTTTTGAGACATAAGTGGCTGTACTCAGGAAATCATATGTGATGCTGAAGATCAAGCCTGCGTTGGCTGAAATGCAAGGCAAGCACCAAGTATCCTACCTGTTGTACTATTCCTCCAGCCCCACATTACACTTTTTTATCATTTATCAGATATAATTATAAGTAAATATAAACTTATAAATATATCTGAATTATTTATATGAAGAAAAGGTTTTTTTTTTTTCTTTTTGGATCACACCCGGTGATGCACAGGAGTTACTCCTGGTTCATGCACTCAGGAATTACTTCTAGTGGTGCTCGGGGGACCATATGGGATGCTGGGAATTGAACCTAATCGGCTCTGTGCAAGGCAAATGCCCTACCCACTGTGCTATTGCTCCAGCCCCTGAAGACAAGTATTTTTGAACTGTCAATGAAATACTATCACCATAATATTACAAATTAAGAGACAATATTGAGACTAGAACAGAGAGTACCAGTAGGTAACAGAAAGCTCAGAATCAAAAAAGCACATTTTAGAAGACTTAGGCTGGCAAAAACTTGATATTCAAAATTAAATACATGGGAATGAGAAAGCCTTATTACACTATTTGTTATACAAGCAGTAAAATATTCTAGATCACAATTAACTGGATCTGTCGTACATTCAGTATTTATATAACAGGCTAAGGAGATGGCTCAAATGGCCCTTTACATACTTTGAATGCTGGAGCCCAGGTTGAACCCACAATACTGTCTGACCCTCAAGCACTGCTAGGAGTAACCCCTGAGCATCATAAACACTTCTGGGTCTGGCCCCATTACAAAAACAAGCAATGTCTATTATGTATTTTTTTCCTTTCTACACCTAGTAACAAAATTTCATATATTTCAAAAAGCACAGCAATAAGTTGACTTTGCATTATGTTTTACTATTGACAGGCAGCATACTTTTTATCAAAATATTTATTACTGTTTTTTTGGCCACATCTGGCTGTCAGGGATCCCTCCTGGCAGTGCTTGTAGGACCATATGCAGTGTCAGAGATGGTACCCTGGCTGGCCACAGGCAAAGCAAACATTTTGCCTTCTGTACTCTCTGCCCTCACAAAATTATTTATCTAGTACTTACAGATATATTGCTGCATTTTTTATTGAACAACTTTTTATTAGTAATAAGATATTCTCAAAATTTCTCCCAATTGAGAAATTTCAAAATTCTATAGCTTTGGTTTTATATTCAGCATCTGTGATATTCCTTTCTACCACTGTGGTTCATTTGAGGCTTCCTAAGCAAACATTTACTATAAACATTAAAATGAACAATAGTTTACACTTGAAGGTAAAGGTAAGGTAAAGGTAAAGGCTCTCCCGTTGATCGTCGATTTGCTCGAGCGGGCCCAGTACCGTCTCCATTGGAGACTTTGTTGTTATTGTGTTTGGCATATCGAATACTCTCGGTAGCTTGCCGGGCTCTCCGAGAGGGGCGGAGGAATCGAACTCGGGTCGGCCATGTTGGCCGCGTGTAAGGCGAACGCCCTACCCGCTGTGCTATCGCTCCAGCCCTTGAAGAATTACCATTACACTTGAAGAATTACCATTAATCTTATGCCATGTTTTATTATTATTATTATCATCATTTATTCTGGGCCACACCCAGTGGTATGCAGGACTTTTGGATTAGTCATTTATCTTTAAAATATGGGGTGGCCAAAAGGAGAGAGAGAAGAAAAGGGAATGCCCTGCCACAGAGGAAGGGTGGGATGGGGGCATGGGGGTGGGAGCGATACTGGGATCTGTGGTGGTGGAAAATGGGCACTGGTGGAGGGATGGGGACTTGATCACTGTATAACTGAAACCCAAGCACAAAAATTTGTAAGTCTACAACTGTACCTCATGGTGTTTCACTAATAAAAATTAAAAAAAAATGGGGTGGAGGTTTGGGTCACACCTAGAGGTGTTCAGGCAGACTTCTAGTCTTAGGATGAGGAATTACTCCTCACAATACTCAGGGTATTAAATAACATGGTGTTGGGGATCCAGGTTGGGTCTTGAGGCATTTACTATCTGCAGCCCATAATACTTACTCTTTATAAGGGGAATACATACATAGAGGAGGTGGTAGGGAGTGAGAAAGGTAATGACTTAGAGGCTCAATGGTTGATCAGGGGATGTGAAGTGTGGTTATGCCAGGGGTCATACATATGGCAGATTTACCACTTAAAATTTCTTTCTGGTCTGTTACAAGCCATTTAGAAGAAATTAGAAAAATTTTTAAAAGATTGAGAAACAGCCCTGGGGGAAAACTCAAAGAATGCTATCTAATCTCTTCAGGCATTTTTCTTGGCTATGTTATCGAGTTATAATCAATTGAGATATATTTTCTCTGTTTTTTTTTCTGTTTATGGGTTACATCTGGCACCATGCAGAAACTACTCCTCACTCTTTGCTCAGGACCGACCCCTGCTTACACTTGGGGGGACATGTATAGTGCCAGGAATAGAAACAGTGTTGGCTACTTGCCAGGCAAGTGGCACTGCCTCTATTTACACTATATAGTGTTGGATTTTGTTTAAGGAGATACTGTCTAACCACTAAGCTCAGCACAAATATTTGACTAATTCCACCCAATACAGCATCTTCAGTTTAACTATTCTGAATGTTCTCTAATTCTGTAGTGCACATAAGCAAATGAACAAATATTTACTAAATGCTGTGTTCAGATACGTCATATTACTGTTAGAAACAGTTCACTATTAATAATTTTGAGAAGTCAATCTGCTATCATTTATTGTTAATGATCATCCTTACTCTAGAAAAAGAGTGTAAAATTCAAGTCAAGAAACTTCTACTTTAAACTACCTATAATTTGTAAAACAGTGCTAGATGTTAAAGATATTCCATGTTCATAAGACATTTATTCTGACCTGAAATTATGTATATTCAGGGGCCAGAAAGATAGGGCAGCAGGGAGGGCACTTGTCTTGTACATGGCTGACCCAGGTTTGATCCCTGGCACTGCATAAGATCTCCTGAGGACTATCAGAGTAGAGTGATCCCTGTAAACCCTGAGCATCACTAGGTATGGCCCCCAAGCCAAAATTATCAAAGTAACTATGATACAATGTGGGAGAAAGAAATGAGGTTGATAAGGGATAGGATAAATTTAAAGGAGGAAAATATTACTCCTTGTAAATAGTATCAGGAATTGTTCATTAGGAACACAACCTTTCAACTGGATCATGACAACTATGTAAGATTTCAAGAGGTACAATTTGAGGGAGGACATTACAGACCTGAAAGAATAGGTTATTTTAAAAGAATGGTGCAAAGTTCTATTTGACTCAAGCATACTTGAAAGGAAAAAGATGGGAGGTAAGACTTAAGGGCAACTGCAGAGAGCTCCAAAGGGTAGAATAAGAAGTTTAACTTTCATGTGGGAGGTACGGAGAGCCACTGGTGTTCTAACCTAATCAAATTCTGTTTAAGAGAAGTCTACAGAAGCAGTGTTTTACCAATGCATTATACTATAATCAACTGTGAAACATGCATAAAATAATTGGTAATAATAAAGACACCAAAGCTATTGTATTTTAAATTATTATAAGTTCAATATTATTCCTATAAACTATTTTTTTGCTTATATTCTCATAAACTTTCTTAAATGAAAGAACTGATGTTTTGGGGAGACACTGTCCTTTCGTTAAATTGCTGATCTAGATGTGACAGAAAGCTTCGAGGCAGAAAATACAGGTTGGAGATTACTTTCCAGGTTGAGGGGTATGAAGAGTTTAGTTCAGGCTGAAAAAAATTGGGTGTAGGTATGATATAATTTGAAAATAATTTGGATATTGGGTGTTTGGAGGAATACCAGGAGAGGAAGAGGGAAGCAGATGTCAACATTGATTCTGAAAATGGTGAGCAAAGCTATGAAGAGAATGAAGTCTGGAAACAAGGCTAATAAAAGCATACTGTTAAGTACCAGAAATATGCAGAAAAACCATAGACTTTCCTTCATTACCTGTTTATACAGAGTACTGGGCTTCAGGGTGATATTAAGGAGGTGTCATTCATTTTATTTTCCACCTAAATGAAATCTCTATACTCACAGTGATGTAAAGTGGATTAACTGAATTTATGGCTAACCTTGGATTAAAAGATTATTTGAATAAAAATGACAAGATACCATCTCACACCAGTGAGAATAGTGTTTCAATATCAAAAAGACTAAAAATGATCAGTGTTGATAGGGATGTGGTGAAAAAGGAACCCTAATTTTTGGAAATGTTGACTGGTTCAGCTTCTGTGGAAAAGAAATCATCAAGATTTCTCAATTAAGTAAGAACATATTTTCCATACAACTCGGTGGTTTCACTTCTTGGTATCTACTCCCACAAAAATAAAAACACTGGGGCTGGAGCAATAGCACAGTGGGTAGGGCGTTTGCTTTGCATGTGGCCAACCTGGGTTTGATTCCCAGCATCCCTTACGATCCCCCAGCACCGCCAGGAGTGATTCCTGAATGCAGAGCCAGGAGTAACCCCTGTGTATCGCCGGATGTGACCCCTCTTCCCCCCCAAAAATGAAAACACTAATTTGAAAAAATAACATGCATACTTATGTTTACTGTA